GACTAAGCCTGCCTGGTCCCACCTCTCGTCGTAGCCTTTGGCTGTGCCGGGATGAAGGGGTGGGGCCACTGGTGGGTCAGAGACTCCCTAGGGCATGATGCTTCTTTGTCTCAAACTGTCGGGTTTTGCTGTTGCCTTAGGATGGAGACTCAAAACGGTTGGAGGAGGGCAAGGGAAGACTTTGGTGATCCGGGAGGTTGCTTTACTTTACTTGGCTTGTAGAAAGGAGAAAAGGGTCCGGGCTTGTCCTAAAGGTCCTCTACTTGGATAGGGGTTAGTGTTAGGAAATGGGTAGGTGGAAGAAAAGAATAGCCTAGTCACCACGCATGAGTGAGATCAGTGGCTTGGCAGAGGTGACCCGGACAAACCACTTGCATATTCACTAATTCATTTATTTCAACATTTAGAGAATAATCATAGAGTTAGAGCTGGAAGGAATCTTTCAACCCTACATTTTCTGTGTGAAGAAACTGAGGCTCGGTATCAAAGAGACTTGTCCAAGGTCAAACTGTAAATGGCAGCACTGTGATTCAAACCCATGTCCTATCACTCCAAATTCTGAGACTTTCTTTATGAAGATTCTGAGCCTGGATATTTACAAGACAGGGATCTGAGTCCCCAGGGAACTTAACTGTGGAGGGGGATAATAGCTATGGGCAGAAAAACATAATACGCTCTAATTAATGATAGATTCACCAGAGAAGAATAACCAAATAGACCATTTTGCAAAGTGGGGGTTTGGGTATGTAACTGGGTCACAGGCAGGCTTCCTTGTAGAGATGTCATTAGAATTGAGCCCAGTGGAATAGAGAGGGTTTCAATAGGCAATGTAGTGGGGACAGCATTCTAGGCATAAGAAAAGCTTGGAAAGAAGAAAGCCATACTTTTGTACCAGGAACTGTTTTTTCCAGTAGATATCTTTCTCTCACTAATGTTCAGTTACTCTCTGTCTATTGGCTGCTTCCACTAGTGACCACAAAAGTGCCTGTGTCTCCCTTATCCTCAAAAAACCTGCAGATGATTCCTGCTATCACTCTATATCTCTCCTCCCTTTAGTGGCCAAACTCTTTGAGAAGGCCATCTACAATTGGTGCCTTCTCTCAATCGGTTCTTGACTACTAGCAGCCTGGCATTGGACCTCATCATTCAACTGAAACTCTTCTCTGCAAAGTTACCAGTGATCTCTTACTCTTGATAAATCTAACAGCCTTTTCTCAATCATTATCCTTCTTGACCTCTTCATGTAGCCTTTGACACTGTCAGTCTCCCTCTTCTCCTTGATACTTTCTAGGTTCTCATGACACACAGCTCTTTTGGTTCAGCTCCTGATCAATCTCTTTTGCTGGATCTTCCTACACTTGTTGCCTTGTGAGGGTCCCCCCAAGACTCTGTCCTAGCTCCTCTTTTTCCCTCTTTACTGTTCGTTTGGGGATCTCAATTGCTCCCACAGTTTCAGTTATTATCTGTATGTCGATGTCTCTCAGATCAACTTGTCCAGCCCCAACCTCTCTCTTAGCTTTCAGTCTTGCATCTGCAACTGCCCTTTAGACATCTTGAACTGGATCACATAGACATGTTAAATTCAACATGTCCCAAACTGAACTCATTACCTTTCTCCCTACCTCCTCCCCCCTTCCTAACTTCCCTATTACTCTCAAGGATACCATTCTCCCATTCTGCCAAGCTCAAAAACCTAGGTTTCATCCTCAACTCCTTCCTCTCACCTTCCATAGCCAGTCAGTTGTCAAGTCCTTCATAACATTTCTTATTTATGCCCTCTTCTCTCTTCTGACATTGCCTCCATGCTGGTGTAGGTCCTCATCATATCAAGCTTAAGCTATTACATTAGGCTGATGGTTTGTCTCTCTGCCTTGATTCAAGCTGTCAAACTGATTTGGCTAAAATGTAGGTCAGACCACATTGCCCCACTATCTGGCATAAAATTCTCTGTCTTTTAAAACCTTTCCTAACCTGCTTCCTAACTTCCTTTCCAAGCTTCTCATACCTGACTCCCTCCACATATTCTGTGAACCAGTGACAGTAGAAGACAGTAGAAACCTTTGGGTTTCTTAAGCTCAATGAATCATCTCCCAGCTCCTTGCATTTTCACTGGCTGTCTTCCATGCCAGAAACTCTCTTCTTCTTCATCTCTGATTCTCAATTTCTTTCAAATTTTAGCTAAAGTCCCACTTTCTACAAGGAGCCTTCCTCTGTCTTCCTTAAACTTAGGTCCTTTTCCATGTGATTATGTCCAATTTATCCTGACTCTATCTTGTTTACAGGGCAGCTGGGTGGTACAGTGCATAGAATATCAAACCTGGAATCAGTCGAGGACAGCCTAATTTTTGTCTTTGAATCCCCAGCACGAGACACCAGGTCATTAGTCCTAGGTTTCCCAATCCCTCTTAATGCTCGCACCTGCCCTTTGTTGATTATCTCCAATTTATCCTGTATATCGTTTGTTCAACATAGTTGTTGGCATGTTGTCTGCCTCATTGAACTATAAACTCCCTGAGAGCAGGGACTATTTTTGACTTTTGTATTCTCAGCCCTTCTTATAGTGCCTTATCATACAAAAAGTGCTTGATAAATATTAGTTGACTTGATTCACTCAAGGGCTCTTTAATTTACAAAAATCCTTTATTGACCTGTCCATCCCTGAAAACTATTGTCCTGTATGTCTTGACCCTTTCATGGCTGAACTCCTTGAGAAGGCTATCTATAGCTGCTGCCTCCACTTCCTTTCCTCTAACTCTCTTCACTCTTTGCAGTTTGGCATCTGACATGATCTTTCAACCAAAGTTATTCTCTTCAAAGTTACTAATGAACTCTTAATTACTCAAATTTTTAGTGACTTTTCTCAGTTCTCCTCTTCCTTAACCTCTATGCATCCTTTGACATTGTTGATCACTTTCTTATCCTTCATACTGTTTAGGTTTTAGTGACACTCTCCTGGTTCTCTGCCACTTGTTTGACCATGTCTTGTCAGTGTCCTTTGCTGGTCACTCTTTCTAAGAGTATCCCCCAACGTTCTCTCATGGGCCCTCTACTCTTCTCTCTACATATACTATTTCATTTGATGATTTCACCACCTCCCAGGATTTCAATGAGCATCTCTCTGCTGATTCTCATATCTACTTATCTAGGCAATGAGGCATCCCTGGGGGAAAGATATGAGGCTGCAGGTGCTAGGAAAGTCAAACCACCACCAGCAACACCACTGTGATTACCATCTCCCCTCAGTCCATGATAGAGACAGCCCATAATCCTAGGCCCAAGAGGCATGGGAATTTCAGTGTTTCCTTCCAAGGGCCTGAAGCCATCATCCTGGGAAAGCAATCCCTATGGAGATGCATCCTGGCCACTGCTCCTGAACACCCTACAGCCACAACTACCAAAGTCCCAGAAAAATCAAGTTCTTGTCATCAAATTCCTTGATACAGTCAAATGCCTTAACATCAAACCTTGTAATTTTATCAGTGGGAATGACATCCAAGGAGAGGCCATATCTTCTGTTTGCCACTTTACCATAAGGACCTTTGCATCTGACCAGCAGCCAAAACCTTTCACATGTTGTCTCCTTCCTTAGGATGGGGGTTTCTTGAGAGCAGAGTCTGTCTGACTTTTCTGTCTCAAATGCTTTGAAAGTATTAAGCACTTATTCAATGCTTTTTTCATTCATTCATTCATTCATTCATTCATTCTCTCACTACCCCATATCCAATCTGTTGCCATGTCTTATTGATTCTACTTTCATAAATCTCTCATATATCCCCCTTCTCCTCTCTGACACTGCCATCACCCTGATTCAAGCCTTTACCACCCTTCATCTAGACTATTTCAATGGCTTATCGCTTGGTCTCCTTCCCTCAAGGCTCTCCCCTATTCCCCAATCCATCCTACACTCAGCTGTCAAATTGATTTTCCTAAACAGGGGTCTGGCAATATCACCCCACTATTCAATCAACTCCAGTGATTCCCTTTTATTCCAAGGATCAAAAACAAAATGCTCTGTTTGGCTTTTAAAACCCTTCATAACCTGGCTCTTTCCTCCCATTCCAGGTCTCTTGTATCTGGTTACCTCTATATGCTAGTGATACAGTACCACTGGGCTCCTTGTCATTTCTCAAGCATCACACTCCATCTCCTGACTCTTTGCATTTTTACTGGCTCTTCCCACTTCCAGAATTCTCATCTCCCTTTTCTCAATCTCTTGACTTCCCTGGCTTCCTTCATGTCTCAACATAAGAAGCCTTTATGAATTCCCCTTAATTATACTGCTTTCCTTCTGTTGGTATCTCCCATTTATGCTGACTATAGCTTGTTGGGCAGCTAAGTGGCACAGTGGATAGAGCACTGGGCCTGAAGTCAGAAAGACTCATGGTTGTGAGTTCAAATCTAACCCCAGATATTTTCTAGATGTGTGACTTTGGACAAGTCACTTCATCCTGTTTGTCTCAGTTTCTGCTGGAGAAGAAAATGCAAAGCACTCTAGGATCTTTGCCAAGAAAAATCCAAAATGGGGTCACAATGAGTTGGACATGACTGAAATGACTCAACAAGGCAAGATGAGATCTCTTGTTTGTACCTAGCATGTTATCTCTCCCATTAGACTGTGAGCTCTCCTTCAGAGTAGAGACTCAGTTTTCCCTTTCTTCGTATTCCTTTGCAAAACCTCTAAAGAAAAGGGGTAACTAATGGGAAGAAGGTGAAAGAAAGAGAGCCATTGGGAATAGGACACCTTAAAAAAGAGTAAACCAAAATAGCTGAAGGAACATAATACTGTGTTTACAACAGAAGGTAAAAAAAAAATTATACCTTGAAATAACGCAACATTAGAGAAAATGGAGGAAAATACAAACATAATGTTAACAATTTTCAATGTGTATTTAAAGATTTGATAAGAAAACAAATCCAATAATCTGTTGCTTAAAAGAAACACATTATTGGAGGGCCAAAAAATTTTACACAGATCTAAGTCTTGGATGCACTGTGCCTATAAGCCCCTCAATGTGGAAGGGATAGGTGTACCACTATGTTCTTCAATTGAGCAGCATTACAAGTCTGAACCCTTGCCATATGTTCAGTGTGTATTAGTTCATTTTCTCTGTGAGAAGATACAAAGTATTTATTCTATGTCTTCTATGTGTTGGATTTTGTGCTAAGCACTTTTTAAAGGAGAACAAACTGACCCTCTGCCCCAAGGCACTCTCTGATTCTCTGAGAAACATCAGGAAGATCTGATCAGCTAAACTGTAAGATAAAGTCAAAACCCTTAGCTAGCTGTCTGACTAAGAAATGTCCTTTTTCTAACTGTGGTTACCCTGGAAGAGCTGAGCTAGGGACTCTAAGAACCCCCATGTCTATTGGGAATGTTTTTCCTCCTACCCCTTTGTCCAACTGTAACCTAGGACGCTCTTTACTTTGACCCAGAGTGGGTTTTCAGGCCACAGCACTGATGCCTGGTGAGGTGAAAGGGGGGTAATGGACCCAAAACTCACATCTCAAAGCCTGCTCTTCCTTTTTCTCCACTGCTGTTGTTCCCAGTGCTAATGCTGGGCTTCCCTTAGTCTCCAGTGAAAATGCTCTTTTCTAATTTTTACTGCAGAGCCCCCATTTCCACCTGTCTCCTGTGGAAAAATGCCGAAGATTTCCAGAATTTACTTTTTCATTGAAATGTAAGTGACTCACTTCTGTTCTTTCCTATAACCAAATAACCTAACCCTACAGGGAAATATTTCTTATGGGATCTATGTGAACAGAAAAGTGGTTCTGGAGTGAAAAAGAATAGGAGGAACATTTTGAAACCCCTATCAAAAGTAGAAATGGGGGCAGCTAGGTGGCACAGTAGACTGAGCACTGGCCCTGGCATCAGAAGGATCTGAGTTCAAATTTGGACTCGGACACTTACTAGCTGTGTGGCTCTGGGCAAGTCACTTAATCCTGATTGCCTGAAAAAAAAAAGTAGAAAAGTAAATAAGCAGGATAATCCCCAAGGCTCAAAAAAGAAAGGAAACAGAATGACTTTGGAGTCAACTCAGAATCTAGAAGTATCTGCCAAACTTGATGGTGGCAGGAGACCTTGCCCCTCGGATTCCTGACCCTCCCTCTCTGCACCTTCTTTCCGAAAACTCTGAGCTCATTTTTCATTTCTCACACCAGACTCTTTATATTAACCAGTTGGCTGAAGAGAAAGGAAAATCAACATTGTTTTCCATTGGAACAATAAAAGCATTATTGGTATCCTAAGTTGAATAACTGAATGCTTTCCCCTATAAAACATTTTTACTTACATATGCTATAAAACAATCTGGGTTCCTATCTCTATTACTTCCGAATCCTATGACTGAATAAATCTCATTTTATACCTCTGAGCCTCAGTCTTCAATCTGTAAACTAAAGATAATACTCCTTCTATTTATCTCAGCATTACATGGTGCTCAGCAAACCTTAGAGCTATACATAAAAGTAAGCTGCTGTTATTATTACTAGAGTACTCTATTTCAGCTCCATTATGTGTATTCTGTTTCTTCTTCTTTGATCTTTGCCCCAGTATTATATACCAATCTTTTCTTTTCTTTTTTGTGAGTCTTGTGAGGTCACAATTATCCTTTTCTGCTTTATAATCTCCACTTCAGATGCCAGCAGGGAAAGTTATTTTTTTAAAAATATAATAGAGAATTAACATTCAAGGATATTTGTCAACCTATGCTAGTGTAGCTGTGTCATTTCCAGGAACATGGTGATGAATTTTTATTTAAATGAAGAATCTTATAAAGATGGAACTATTCTGTTAAGAGACACAAGTACTTGACTCTTAAGTTTTAACAGTGTAATTGACCTTGTAAAGAAATCTGAACACAACAGCAATAAAATTAAAGAAATATCACCTGGAGAAAATTTTGGTGGCAAACAGGACAGGTATAATCTTGACATCTAAAATATGTAAGGAAATATTTTTGAATAAAATATCCATCAGTGGATTTTGTGAAGTAGTAATAATAATAATATTAATAATAATGATAATGACAACATTTAGATGGGTTTGCCAAGCACTTTACAAATATATCATTTGATCCTCACGTCAACCCTGGGAAGTAGATGCTATTATAATATTATTATTTCTAGCTCTATAAAATATTTTTTTGGCAGTTTGATTGGTAAGGCTCTGAATAAGTAAATTAATTTAGGTAGATTGTCATTTTTATTATATTAGCTCAGCCTACTCATGAACAACTGATATTTCTCCAATTATTTAGACTGACTTTTTTTGTGTGAAAAGTGTTTTGTAATTATGTTTATGTAGTTCCTGGGTTTATTTTGACAGATAGACTCCCAAATATTTTATAATGTCTACAGTAACTTTAAATGGAATTTCTCTTTCTGTCTCTTGCTGTTGGGCTTTGTTAGTAAAATATGGAAATGCCAATGATTAGTGAGTTTATTTTATATCCTGCTACTTTGCTAAAGTTGTTTATTATTTCAAGTACTTTTTTACTTGATTCTCTAGGATTCTCTAAGCATATCATCCTATCATGTACAAAGAGGGATAGCTTTGTTTCTTCTTTGCCTATTCTAATGCCTAAATTTAGAGAATTCACCCCAAATGTTCACATGAACTGTTTGTGTCCAACCTACGTAGACCATTTCTAGCTAGCATTGGTCTGATCATCCACAGTTAGACACACTGAAAGTTGACTGTAGTATAGTGATGTCATTTTGGTTCTCTTCAGGAAAGAAGAACAAAGCCCACCACCAACCGTCTCTCAACCAAGGCCTGTCCTATCAGACAAGTCATTTGTGCAGTGGCTCTAATGAGTCTAATGAGATTCCTCATCTGTACAACAAATGGATCTGAGCCGATCATTCCTAAGGATTATCTGAGCACTAAAATTGATGACGCTTTGTGTGCTCTTCCCCTCTTTATGGCAGACTGCTCTTGATCCCACTAAATGCTATTCCTTAGTGACTGACTGTTGGACCTGAAGTGGAGAGGACCCAAGTTCAAATCCTACAATGGATACTTTATTAGGGAGGTGAACCTAGTCAAGTCATTTACTTAACCTCTCTTGGCCTCAGCTTCCCTCTGTTAAATGGGGATAATAGCCCCTACCTCACAAAGTGTTGTTGAGCCATTTCAGTCCAGCCCTACTCTCCATGACCCTATTTGGGGTTTTCTTAGCAAAGATACTGGAGTAATTTGCCATTTCCTTCAGCAGCTCAATTTACAGACGAGGAACTGAGGCAAACAGGGTTAAGTGACCTGCCTAGGGTCACACAGCTAATAAATGTCTGAGGCTGGATTAGAATTCAAGTCCTCCTGACTCCAGGCCCACCACTCTATCTACTCCACCACGTAACTGCAGCTCACATGGTGGTAAGGATTGAAAGAGTTAACTTTATGTCTTCATTTGTCAGCTAGGTGCACTACTTTGGGGCTTCTGACTTTTCCACCATGCTTCTAAATCCAGTACTTTCCCTGGCACCCTTCCTATCCCCTTTTCACCTTATTTTTGTCTTATCTTCCCTAATTAAGATTGTAAGCTTCTTGAAAGCAGAGCTTGTCTTTTTTTCTCATTTATATCCCCATCACTTAGCCTGGCACATAGTAGACACTTAATGTTTACTGATTAACTGAATGTATTATATAAAGGACTTTGACAACCTTTTAAAGTACTAGATAAATGTGAACCATGTGGCCATTTAAGATTTATTTCAACTTTCAAATAAAAATTGCCATTTTATTCAAAGACCTTAAGTTGGTGATAGAAAATACGAAAAAAAAGCAAGTTTAATAGCAGCTTTCATTATATTATGATTAGGTCACCTTGAAAAACTCTTTGAACTTAAAGATGGCTCATGTCAGCTCTGTGTCACTTTAGGTCTATACATCTATGCCTCCATTTAGATCAGAAACAGATTGAGAGTCAGAGAACAAAACTATACATTGATTATGAATGGCTCCTGAAAATTGGCATAGAATTTCCTATGTTTTATTTTTGAAGGGACTGATGCAATGTCAAAGCCACGGCCAGACCTATTGATTTACACTTCAATCAGTAAGGTGTAATGAGGTAGGATATAAAATGTTGGACTCAATCCGAGAAATCATCTGTAGCCACTGACTAACTCCCCATCCTAGGACAAAAATTCAGAAACCTAACTCTCTTCTTTCCTGCTACAAAATTTAACACATTGAAGGAAATCAACTCTCACAAAGTTCATATACAGTGAATCAATGTTTATTTAAAAAAGTAAATCTTTATATATACAATTTTAATATGAAAATTTATGTCTTTGAATTAAACAATATTACAAGCTGTTTATAAAAAAGTAGTGTTTACATTTCACACATGTAAAAATGTCAGAAGAAACTCAAATTACAACTTGGATCATGGGCAATTCAAGTGTTTGAACCCAAATGATACAGGTCAGATCCCATCTCTGTGAAGCAGTTGTCTGTCAATCACGTCATACTTCAGGAAAGCTGGCAGCTGTCGCTATTCCACAGTGGTTACTTTTGTCCCTGGCCATTAAAATGTACCCATCATTGCCCCACTGGTCACCCCAGCTGAAAAGAAAGTGAAGTATTAAGTTTAAGAGCACCATTCAAAAATACCTTTTTACTTTAGGGGTGCAAAGCCTTCTGACATTGTGACCAAATTCAGAACATGAGTTGGACTTTTCAGAAAGTAATGAAAATAGTTGTTGGTGATGACTTTGTTGTTAAGTTGATTAGTTGTGTCTGACTCTTCATGACCCCATTTTTATGTTTTCTTTACAAAGATACTGGATGGGTTTGCCATTTCCATCTCTGGTTCATTTCCCAGATGAGGAAACTGAGACAAACAGGTTTAAGTAATTTGCCCAGGGTCACACAGCTAGGAAATCTCTGAGGTCTATTTGAACACAGGTCCTCCTAACTCCAGGGCTAGCACTCTATTTCCTGTGCCACCTAGCTGCCCTATTCATGACAACCTCTGACTCAACACTAAGCACTTTCAGGTTTTCCAAGTGATGTGCTTTCCCCATAGCACTTTGTGAGTCAGTCTGACAATAACTATATTAGAACAGTCCAACAAACTAGGCAATGGAAATCTCCTGTACTCTGTTGTTATCAGTGGTCATAGAAACTATGAGGAACCACTAGGGAACTCTCAATCTACTCTGGATCCTAAAAACAGGATCCCTTCCTCCCACAAACATCCCGTCTCCATTTCACAGGATCCCAAGAATTCTACCCTTCTTTCCTTTTCCCCTTCAAAATGAAATAATCAGAAACTGGCAACAAGGAGGTCAATAACATTTCAGGCAAGATCTTGGTTTACCTATTCTTGACAATCCAGTATTTCTTTCCCGTTTCTTCATCAACACCATAGCCCACAGCCAGCACGCCATGATCGAGGAATTCACTACTGCAGAGCGGGTCATAATAAACACCTAGGATATTCAAGTGCAACATGAACTTGAGAAATACTAACTACCGAATGGCAATAATATGGTTAAGTGCATTTTGACAGAAATAATGAAGAAAAAAATGCTTACCACCATGATAGAACTGGAAGGAGAAAAGTGATGCATCAATTCCAACAGAGATGGGACCCACAGTGGCCACAGCCTTTGTGAGAGTCATTTCCTGCCCAGATGGGATGTCCACAAATCCAGTGACATTAGCACCAGAGTTTTCTGGCTCATACCTACAGTCGCTATCCTTTTAAAATGAAACAGGTAAAAGGTTTGGTTTACTATTATCAGTGGTATTGCCCAGATGAATTTAAAATTAATGGTCACAAAACTAATAAATCTATGGGCCATGTTCTCCCATTAATTTATTAGATGAACAGCTCAAGAAGAAAGCTGGATATGGGTGAGTAAAGGACTATTTGAAAGTCCCATTGAAAGAAGGCAGCATAGTGTAAACCAGAGGGTGGGTAACATTCCTACACATCACTGCTAACTCAATATGCATTGCACATGGATTCTAATGTATGGTTCTGTGGCCCATTTCTACTTGAGTTTGATACCACTGACATAAAACAACCAATTAATTAGCAACTCTAAGAGTCTCCTAGTTGTGGCATAGTCCAGTGAGACCAAGGTTCCAATCCAGCTCTTCACTTACAAGCTACGTGATCATGAGACTGAGGTTGAGAAGTTATCAGAAAAAATCAGGATAATACTTCCCCCTGACAGGGCTGTTTGAGGATCAAAAGAGATTAAGTGAATGACATGTTTGTAAACTTTAAAGATGAGATAAATGTCAGCAGTTATTATGCAAAATTCGACTCAATTGTCATTTAATTCCCTACTCCTAAGGAGGCACTAGTGGGAGTTAGGTGTCAGGGAGGCACAAGGGTAGGCTACAAAGGCAAGAATGGATTTAGGTTCAGGGAACCTGGCTTCCAATCCAGAGTTTGCACCTTATTACTATGTTTGGGATCTTGAGCAAGTCATTGTAAAATGAAGATGTCTGACCAAATGATCTCTACAGTGTCTAAGACAATACAGTCTATATGCTTCCTAAGATCTCCTCTCAATGGGTGATTGTATTCAAAGTCAAGGCAACTCATTTTTAGTGTTGATATATTTTGGATTCAGTTGTAGATTTTCTTTAGTTAAGAAGGTGGGTGTTTAGGTCTTTAGTCTTTGCAGGCTTCCTCAGCTCCCATCCCCCAAACTGAGACTCTTCTTTCAAATGTAGTTAAACCAAAATGATGGGGAATGAAATAATTATATTTACCATTGCCTCATAGGGATATGATTCTTCTGTATCAATGCCTCCATTTAACATCACATATTCAAAAGCACTATCCATGAAGCCACCATTACAGCCTTGGGAACCCCCACCTGTAGCACAGTCAATCAAATTCTGTTCACTAAGTGAAACAAGTTTGCCTGTTTTATGGAACCACTGGCCTTCCAGGGAACCAGTTGCACTAAATGCCCAGCAAGAACCACACGGACCCTGAAAGAGTCCAAAGGAAGTACTGGTTAGTATACAAGATAATTTTACTCATCTTTTTCAGACAGATCTAAACAGTTTTAAATATGGAAGGGAACTCAGTCACAGATCTGAGATGAAGTCCCATTATTTAAGAGACTCCATTATCAATCATAAGCTTCACTGAGTTTTGTCTGAGTTATCTATGGATCAAAATTAAGCAATTTTTCATACCTGATTCTTAACAGGAGTGACGTAGCCCTTGTCTCTCCAGTCTACAGATTTTGGGATCTGTTCAAGGTGAGGTTCACGAAACAGAGTTCCTTTGTTCTTCCTTTGAAATCTGTTTTGTTTAAAGCCATTCATCATTTGTCTGAATTCATCATTGGTCTAAAATGAAGAGAAAGATGATTTATATGAAGTGTATTGGGAGCAAAAGATAACTGACTACTCAGTATTAACATCAGATTGTTACAACACACCCACCATATCGCCAAACTCGTTCATTTTCATGTGGAAACTATGTTTACCAGTGCTATATTCCAGATTGTGCTTTTCAATCATTCTCAAGTTCTTCTCCCATGTTGCTCTCCTCCAATTATCTTCATTCTAGAGGCAAGTACAATAAGGTTCAATAAGCTTCTGCTTATATTATTACACATAAAAGTGAAACTATCAAACCAAATCCACTGTCAATCACTCCTTTGGCATCCAGCTGGGATGTTGACCACACCCAAATATTGCCTTCCCAAAAAGGTTTTCAAATCCGATGTTATAGACATCTCTGCCCTCTGAACTTCTGTGGGCAAAAGCAGTAATATGGAGCAATTGAAGCTCTTATCTGGATAATCTTTGGCTTCTTAGGAAAGGCCATTTCATTAGTCCACTTTGGACATGTACTCATCATAGTTGGGGAAAAAAAGTAGCTGAAAGCTTACTGCTGCATAGGTTTTTCCATGCTGTGACTTCCATTGGTACCATCGAGCATCTAAAGTCCGGTCAAGTTGTGGAGCAGCAGCTACTATCCCCAAGCATAGGCAAGCTAAACACAGGTACAAATTCATGTTTCAAACCTTAAGGGGAAAAAAGGATGAAAGAGATAGGAAATGTGTATGATTAAAAATCAAGTCAAACCAAAAATCCACGCTCTTGTTTCTTTGGGAAATAAACACAATCTTCCCAGGGGAAAAACAAAATTTATTTCACCAAATATTCATATATTATCTAGTTATGTGGAAAGCATTGTGTGTGGGACGGGGTGGAGTGAGGGTAAATACAAGAGATGTAATCCTGATGTAGAGTTTTTCAGGGAGTTTAGACATTGACACAAAAACATTAAGACCAGAGACAATGCTTGATTAAGTGTTAACATTAATAGCACAAATAATAAAAATGGACACCCAGTTCAAAAGCTGTAACTGTTTTTAGAAGCTGAAATGTACTCCTAAATTTTATGGCAGTGGTTCCCAAAATGTAAGCCAAGGTCTGACCACGGTGGCATAGAGACAGGTGGCACAGTGGATAGAGTGCTAGACCTAGGGTCAGGAAGACCTTAGCTCAAATCCTGCCTCAGATACTTAGTAGTAGCTGTGAGGCTGTGAGTAAATCACTTAACCACTCAGCCTCAGTTTCTTTATATGAAAAATGGGGATAATAATAGCATCTACCTTACAGGGTTGTTGTGAGGATAAAATGACATAATATTTGCAAAGGGCATTGGAAACCTTAAAGCATTAGGTATTTTTTTTTATTATTATCATTATTGTTAACCTGAGGTTAGTCCACATCCCATTCCTGGACTGTCAACCTACAGGGCTTGTCTCTAATACAATTACAATAATTATCTCCTGCTCAGCCTTCTCTCTTATATTCCCAATCTCACCTAACTAAAGGCAGCTGTGATGAAACTACTACCAAGCAGCACTATTTGGGAAAATGGGGGAAGGGAGGGAGTTGTAGCTGCAGCAGTGACTAGTAAAAGACTCTCTCTTCCTGTGAGTCCCAAAGGAGGAGGTAAGGGTGTTTGGGATATGCACATTTTAACTACATTATCTTCCTCCTCCAACCCATCCCTTTTCCAAACCATGATAGCTATTATTGTCAAGGATACATCAGCCTTCCATCCAATCAATTGCCAAAGCATCTCTGTCTTTGATCTTCACAACAGTCTAGTTCAGGGATCATCTCTCCAGTGAACTTGTGCAATATCCTTCCAACTCATCTCCTCTCCCCAGGTCTTCCTCCATTCCATCCTATCCTCACACAGCAGCCAAAACTATTCTAAAGTGACCATTTTGCTCTTATCTCCAGTATACTCCAGTGTTTCTATTGCCCCTAGGATCATATTATTTCATTTTTATCTGATACTTCAAAAACCTGTATTTGTGTTTATCAGCACAGGAGTACATGTAAAATTTATAGAAGTGAATGTACATATATATTGGGGGAGTACTCACAAATTTTTGTCCTAATGGGAGGTGTGTCCTAGCAAAAGTCTGCAGATTAGTACTTTATTCAGGGCAGGACTGTCTTTTGACTCTTGATAACCCCAGGGTTTAGCACAATGCCTGGCACAGAACAGGTACTAAGTAAATGTTTTTCTTAAAGCCACTACAACATTTCTAAGCCTCTCCCCAAACCTAACCACCAAATCACCTTCTCCAGAACTCAAAACAACTCCATTTCTCAGGGGCATGACCAAGCAACATACCAGCCTAGAATAGAAATAGATTTGACATCGTGGTGACTGGGTTCAATCCCGACCTCTGTCACTTAATACCATATGGGCATACATGGGCATGTCACTTCACCTCAGTGTCTCAAGTTTCCCTAAGGTACCTTCTAGCTTTAAATCTATGATCCTATAGAGGCTAAAGGTAAGGCTTTACAATCAGCTGCTGATGGAGGGAGTGGAGAGGAGGAAAGCCTTTTCTGCCTTTTCTACAGAAGAGTAAGATAGCCATTTCCAGATTTTCAGATCCTATGGGCCTTAGATCTAAAGGCCCTTCAAGCCAAAATCCATCTTTCACAAGTAGAAGGATAGGGAAGCAGGTCACACAAACTCTGGGCATCTAAACCTCCTGCATCCTAAAACAATTTCTTGCTTGCCTCTCTCCTAACAAGGTCCACCTCTCCAGTCTGGGAAAAGAGGTCAGGTGGGGGTACCCATGTGAGCCAGGACCCCCAACACCACTAGCCAGGGGGGAAGGGACTTGGCTGGAGGCCAGGAGCCACCCCTCCCAACACTATCCCCATCCCCGGGGTACCGGCTGGGGGACGGGAGAGTTTGCTGACCATCGTAAGGGGTCTTTTAAGCAGGCTCTGGGAGGAGCTCTTTTCCTCCTCCTCTGGAGCAGAACCGTACACACAATCTTAAACCAGTACGTTTACACTCCCCTAGCCCTCCCCCCCACCCCAGGGTATCTGTAGAGTTTGCAACTAGAGTAAATCCAGAACAGCTCCAGGTCATGGGGATGAATAAACCTGGGAAAAGGAGGCAAAGCAGTTCCAGATCAGATTCGGACAGGTCATCCTGGGGCGGGCCCCTCCTCATCCCCAAATCAAGCCAAAACGTGACCCTCCTCACCGCCCCCTCCTCCCTATCATCTCCTCTCCCATTAAGTGCGGGCCAAAAACACACCCCAGCCTCCATAAGCAGCGGACTCAGCTCCCTGCGCTTCCGTAATAGTAATGATAATAAAAAGAAAGGAAACATTCCTTCAACGCTTTTTAAGGTTTGCAGAGGGCTCTACAGATGCTCCCCCATTTGAGCTTCCTAACAACCTTCGTGGGAAGTGGATACTATTAATTTGTCCTGGTTTCACGGTGGCCTCGGGAAAGGCTACAACGCCCAGAAGTCCACCGCCCCCCATCCCCCGTTCTGGTAGAACCCACAACACACACACACACACACACACACACACACACACACACACACACACACACACACCCACAACACACAGAGAGCTGGCCAAGCTCTGCCCACCCAGCCACACAAACTCTTCCCCAACCATCTCCCTTCCCAAGCCCGGGCTCTGTCCTCTTTCTCTCCTTCCCATCCCGGGGGTCCCCCGGAGCCTGAGGACTTTGCCCCTTTCCGAGCCCCTCCCTCGGACCTGGGAGCTGCGACTCGCCCAGCCCTCACCTGAGCGTCTCAGCAGCGGCGGGACCTGGGGAGAGCCGGACCTCTAACAAAACTTGAGGGTCCGGGCGGGAGATTGCTTAGCCCTGGGTCCGGTGGCTCCTGTTTTTATCCGAACGTCCAGGACTAAGCCTGCCTGGTCCCACCTCTCGTCGTAGCCTTTGGCTGTGCCGGGATGAAGGGGTGGGGCCACTGGTGGGTCAGAGACTCCCTGGGGCACGATGCTTCAGTACCTCAATCTGTTGAGTTTTGCTGTTCCTTTAAGGATGGAGACTCAAACAGGTTGGGGGAGGGCAAGGGAAGGCACTGGTGATCTGGGAGGCTGCTTTATCTTACTTTGCTTGTAGAAAGGTGAAAAGGGTCGGGATTCTTCTAAAGGGCCTGGGGGTTAGAGTTGGGAACAGGGTGGGAGGGAGGAAGGAATAGCCTAGTAACCATGCGTGATTGAGATTAGTGCCTTGGCAGAGGTGACCGGGATAAACCACTTGTATATCCACGAATTCATTTATTTCAATATTTAGAGAATAATCATAGAGGTAGAGCTGGAAGGGCTCAGGGTCTAAGGGAGTTGTCCAATGTCTAACAGCCAATGGCAGCACTATGATTCAAACCCATGCCCTATCACTTCAAATCTGGCCTCAGACACTTGCTAGCTGTGTGACCCCGGACAAGTCACCTCTTTACCTCAGGTTCCTCATCTGTAAAATGAGCTGGAGAAGGATATAGCAAACCACTCTAGTATCTTTGCCAAGAAAACTCAGAATGGGGTCATGAAAAGTTGGACATGACTGAACATCTTATTTGTACATAGTTGTTGGCATGCTATTACAACCTCCCCACTCTCTATTAGACTGTGAACTCCTTGAAAGTATCAACTATGTTTTCTTTTCTTTTGTTTTTTAACTTTCTTTGTATCCCCAACACTCAGCACAGTGCCTGGCATATAATAGGTGCTTAATAAATGCTAGGTGAACCGACTGAGACTGTGTTAGTTCACTGGAATTTACAACATATGGATAGTATGAGATGAGGAAATTGAGGGGATTTGAACACCAAGTTGTAGTGGGAATTGATTGAACCACATTGACTCCAATTCTGGCCCTAACTCAGTTCCATTACTGCTCAGTTATGGGTCTAGGTCAATTTCTATCTGGTAAGAAAACTTTATTCCATCATGTGAATTGTGAGAAACTTTATTGCATTATTTGAACCTAACCCTGTGTGGCTAGGAAGAGGCTCTACCTACTACCTCTACTTACTGCTTAGAGAGCCTTCAGTTAAACAAAACCTAGGTTTTGCTGACTGGAAAGCCCAGCAGATCTAAAGATTGATGCAAGTTTTTTCACAATTATGTATCTCAAGCAACCCATATGTCTTATCTGGCCCTATGCTGGTCAATCAATTATTTAGGAGAACAAGGGAAAACAACATGCTATTACTGAGTGGTTTAAAAGAGAAATGAGAATTATGAGAGCAGAATTTATGGCCTGTGCAGCAAAAATAATTTGTAATGGTAAATCTCACTAAAGAAGCAAAAGACAAAATGATAGCTAGAGGCTGCAAAACACTGAAGTGAAGGACAATCCAGAAGAAGAAAAGATAAAACAATGATATTAAAAGAAAATATTCTCACTATGGAAGCAAAACATACTGATCTTGAAGAAAGGCTACATAGTGACAACCTCAGGATCACAGATTCCAAAGAAGAATGACAGGAAAAAAAAATTAACAGTATAATGCAGGAAATAATACAAGGGAGCAGCCAGAACTTCTGAGCATACAGAATAAAATGACAATTGAAAGAATTCATAGATTACCTCCAGAAAAAAATAAAATAAAACAACAATAACAACAAAAACCTAAGGCCCCAAACTGCAAGATACATGATGATTCAATTTAGCAATTCAATTCAGAAACAAGTTCTACAAGCAAAAAATGAGAAAGACCTTGAAATATAAAGGAAAAGAAATCCAAATGACCCAAGACTATTTTGCACCTGTTAGAAAACGCAGGAGGAAATGGAATAATGTGTTCCAAAAAGTAATGGAGCTCAGGATGCAGCCCCGGGTGATTTAACCTACAAATCTGAGCTTAGCCGTAAATTTAAAATGATGGACATACAATAATAAGTATTTGAGACATTTTTAAAAAGAAAACTAGACTTCTCATTCAGCGCCACTGTTGAGGTTTAGAGTTGGGAGAGATGGTTCAGGTGTGAAAGAATTCACTTAGACCTTCTCTGTAACCATTGGGAGCTTTATTGACGCAAAAGCGGCTAGCTCTGGAAAGAGGACTAGTAACTTACAGAGGGATAGGGGTCTGTTTTATCTTACAAGATAAGGGAAGGGGTTGTCATGACACAGGATGAGGAAGATGGATGGCAGAATAGGGACTCAGGTTAAGGAAGACGGGAAATTTTATGACTCAGGATGAGGGAGACAAGGAATTTTTATGGTCCAGGATAGGGGGGAAGTTTTACGGTATTCCAAGACAAGGGAAAGAGACTCTACGATGCCCTCAAGTTCAGGAGGGGCCTCACAAGGAGCTGGAAAAACAACTCTTAATTAAAATTTGTTTCTTTAAAAAGCTTTTAGCTTTTGGGGCAGTGTATGTCTTCTGCTTCACCGCCAATATGGTATTCAAGTGCTATGTGGAAATTGGACAGGTGGCCTACATTTCCTTTGGGCCATATGCCGGCAAGCTGGTAGCTGTTGTGGATGTTATTGATCAGAATAGGGCTTTGGTTGATGGCCCATGCAGTAGTGTGAGGAGGCAGGCCATGCCATTTAAAGATTTCGGGCTCAAGTTCCCACACAGCGCTCCTCAGAAATACGTCCAGGATGCTTGGGAGAAAGAAAAGATCAAAACAAAATGGAAAGACACAAGATGGGCCAAAAAGATTGAAGACAGAGAAAGGAAAGTTAAGATGACAGATTTTGACCATTACAAAGTCATGAAGGCCAAGAAAATGAGAAACCAAATTACCAAGAATGAAGTAAAGAAGCTCCAGGAGTCCACCTAGAAGGGGTCTCCTGACAAGGGGGCTGCCCAGAAGGTGCTGGCTGCAAAGATCTCTGCCAAGAAGATCCCCTTGAAGAAGACTGAGTGCCAGAAGGTGCCCATGGCCAGAGGGTCAGAAGGGTCAAAAAGCCTCTGTCCAGAAGGCCCCAGCCAAGAAGAGACCTGTCCAGAAGGGACCCGCTCAGAAAACAACTGCTCCAAAGGCCAAAGAATAAGAGGCTGCCAGAAATCAAATAAAGGTTTTGCTACACACACACACACACACACACACACACACACACACACACAGAAAACTAGACCTGAAGGTATTATTTGCTTCTCAAATATCCCAAACAACAGGAATTTAGGAGGAATGAATAAATGTGGCAGCCAGGAGCAGCCCTAGCAGAGAGACCAGTTAGAGATTTCTTTTTAAATGTATACAAAACGACAGGAGTGAAGGTAGAGGACAGGTAGAGGTAACAGTTAGGAAGCATTATAGACAGAATTTGGTGATACCTTCCCTACAGATAAATCAATGATATGTGTGTGTGTGTAACTACATTACAAAGTGGGCAGCTAAGTGGTAAGTGGACAGAGCACTGGGCCTGGAGTCAGGAAGACCTAAGTTCAAATCCGGCCTCAGATAGAAACTTACTTGCTGAGTGACCCTGAGTAAGTCCCTTAACTCTGTTTGCCTCAGTTTCTTCATCTGTAAAATGATCTAGAGAAGGAAATGGCAAACCATTCCTGTATCACTGTCAAGAAAGCCCCAATGGTGTCACAAAGAGTTGGACATGATTGAACAACAACAATATTCCAAAAATGGGAGGATGAATGAAAAGGGAAGAAGGGAGTGTGTGATGTGCATAGGGCAAATCAAGTCAGGGGTTCACAATGAGGGGAAGGTCACTCTGGTGGTCTTAGGAAGAGATGAAACTGCAGGGAAGTGGTGAGGAGTTGAGGAAAAGGACTGAAAAGGGAAAAGGAGAGGAGGGAGGCCTTACTGTAGTAGTAGAAGGGGGTTCTACTGATAAAGGCTTCTCTGGATGAAGAGAGATATTCTGTGAAGGGAGATGGGGACCTTGTACTGAGGGTGGTCTTTGATGCTTATACTTGTACGGATTTGGTGCTTAAAAAGACCACTTGTTCTACTTTGGGAGGGAAGGATTTGGATATCCTGGGGGCAACTGGTACCTGAGAGAGTGGATAAGTTTTGAGGCAAATGGAGAAAAGACGGTAACTAGGAAGAGGGTATATACCAGTGATGGGCTGCAAAATCAGAGAAGTTGGAGGAGGGTGGTCACTATACTGTGGAAGTGTCTTTTCTGTCCCATGTAGGAATTGTCTATGTTCTGGGAGTAAGGCACAATGGAAAAGGGGAACCTTCCAGGTAATCTTTACAAGGCAGTGGCAGAAACTACCAAAAGGGCAGGAGCTCAGAATGGATAACTTAGAATTTACGATTTCATAAGGAATACAGAGAATAGAGAGAGAATAGATTGTTAGTCTAGGAACCAGAGCAGACAGAAAGAGAAGATGAATGATGGAGAGAGTGAGAGAAACCCTCTCTGGAAAGGGATGCCAAAAATGACATGAAAAAATAATGAACAGGCCAAGTGGAAGGGCTGGCTAGGAGGTGGAAATCTATTTGACTAAGAGAAAAAAAAAAGAGAAGAATTAAATAATCCTATAAAAGCAGGAAAGAAATTGGAACTAATTAGCAAAACTCCAAAGAGGGAGGGGTAACTAATGGGAAAAGTGTAATCACTGGTGACAGGAAGAGAGCCATTGAGAATGGGACACCTTAAAAAGAATAAACCAAAATAAATGAAGGAACATAATAATGTGTATACAACAGATTAAAAAAATTATACCTTGAAATAACCCAACATTAGGAACAAATGGAGGAAAATATAAACATAATGTTAACAATTTAAAGATATGATAAGAAAACAAAATCCAATCATCTGTTGCTTAAAAAAAACACATTTATAAAACAAAATAAAACTGAAGGGACAGAAAAAAATTTACTATGTATCAAGTGAATCCAAGAAGGCAGAAGTTGCAATCATGCTCTCTGACAAAGCAAAAGCAAATAT